ATTAATGACCTGGATGAGGGGATAGATTGCACCCTCAGCAAGTTTGTGGATGACACTAAGCTAGGGGGAGAGGTAGATATGCTTGAGGGCAGAGATAGGGTCCAGAGTGACTTAGACAAATTGGAGGATTGGGCCACAAGAAATCTGATGAGGTTCAACAAGGACAAGTGTAGAGTCCTGCACTTGGGATGGAAGAATCCCAAGCATTGTTACTAGCTGGGGACCAACCAGTTAAGTACAGGCAGTCCCCGGGTTACATGGATCCGACTTACATCAGATCCCTACTTACAAACGGGGTGAGGCAACCCCGCACTAGCTGCTTCCCCCCAGCAGACCAGGGAGACGTGAAGCTAGCGCCCTCCCACCGCAGCAGACCAGGGAGATGCGGAGCGGCTTTTCTCAGCAGATACCTCAGCTTGAGAATAAAGGATTGGGGGAAGTGAGGTGTGGGAGAATAAAACTGATCTCTGGAGAAATGTTTGGCTAGAGTTTCCCCTATAATATGTACCAGTTCCGACTTACATACAAATTCAACTTAAGAACAAACCTACAGTCCCTATCTTGTACGTAACCTGGAGACTGCCTGTAGGAGTTCTGCAGAAAAGGACCTGGGGGTTACAGTGGATGAGAAGCTGGATATGAGTCAACAGTGTGCCCTTGTAGCCAAGAAGGTTAATGGCATATCAGGTTGCATTAAGAGGAGCATTGCCAGCAGATCCAGAGATGTCATTATTCGGCTTTGGTGAGGCTACATCTGGAGTCGTGTATCCAGTTCTGGGCCCCCCACTACAAAAAGGATGTGGATGCATTGGAGAGGATCCAGCGGAGGGCAACCAAAATTAGGGGGCTGGACCATATGACCTACAAGGAGAGGCTGAGGGACTTGGGTCTGTTTAGTCTGCAAAAGCAAAAAGTGAGGGGGGATTTGATAGCAGCCTTCAACTTCCTGAAGGGAGGTTCCAAAGAGGATGGAGAGGCTGTTCTCAGTAGTAACAGATGGCAGAACAAGGAGCAATGGTCTCAAGTTGTGGTGGGAGAGGTCCGGGTTGGATATTAGGAAAAACTATTTCACTAGGAGGATGGTGAAGCACTGGAATGGGTTACCTAGGGAAGTAGTGGCGTCTCCATCCCTAGAGGTGTTTAAGTCTTGGCTTGACAAAGTCCTTGCTGGCTTGATTTAGTTGGAATTGGTCCTGCCTAGAGCAGGGGGCTGGACTTGATGACCTTCGGAGGTCTCTCCCAGTTTTATGATCCTATAGCTAGGGACTATCAGCTGGAACTTCATCAACTTGATACTTGGATGTTGATAACCTCAACTAGTTTAAGTCGCAAACCACAAATCAGACATGATATCAGGAAATAATGGAAATACCCTGCCACCGGGTATCATGCAAAAAGGCACAATGTGTCTCTGGCTATAGCAAAGGCTTCCAGAGTGGTTGCAATTGACCTAGCCTATGGACCTACATGAATTAAGAACTGCTCTATGATGAGGTAGCCAGTTTCAACAGTCAACAATGGTGCCAGAAAGGACGGCTCAGATCTGTCTGAGTAAGATGGGATCAGCAAGCTTAAGGGAATGCTCTACCATCAATACCAGACTAATCTTCTGTGGAGAAGTCCTGGGCTCTGGACTTTGAGGAACCCAATACTGAAATTTTCAAGACTGTTCTAGACACTGAAACTGACAGATCTGGTCACAGGGATCTCCTCTGGCAAATAATTCTGAGAAGAAGCCTTTCAAAGATCTTCCTTTTGATGACTAAGAGGGTTGTGAGATGGGTTACAGGACTGCCTCCATTAAGATATAGCTGTAGTAAGATGAGGGCCTGAAACAAGCTCAGGTATCACAGGCCTGGTGAGAGGCCTGAGACCTAGATAGCAATGCTCAAGACTTCGCTAATATAAAGCAAGGCAGAGCTGTGAACAAGAGACACGCCCTGGCTAAGAACTTGGCAAGAATAGGGCTGATATTACAGAAACACTCATAAGTAGCTGCAGAACTTGGCAAGAATAGGGATGATATTACAGAAACACTCATAAGTAGCTGTAAGCCCATGCCATAAGCATATTCCAGAGCTGTTGTAACAGGACGCATCATGAAGAAACATCTTGCTACTACCATACTCCTCACAAGTAAGAGGAACATACTGACCCAGCTTCAGGACAGGGTCTAAACTGACAGCATGATAGTGATCAAACTCACACATACAAGGTAATATGTGCACCTGTAAATAAAGTTGTCTTGGAAAGGCTGTCTTTCTTCAACTGAGGGGGCACTGTCGCATTCCTGGCACTGACTGAGTTGGTCCATTGTCAGGTAGTACATATATGCAGTGATTTGGTATTGTCTGTCAATTATTATTATACTTTCTTTGGTGCTTTTGACCCTAATCTGATTTTGTGGTCTTTTGGGGGCTTTCAGAATCTGCTGTGTTGACTATTAGCGCAAGCCTATGACACACAGAAGGGCCAAACACACAGCTGAACAATCATCATCACTTAAGGAGCAGGAGTCCTGTCAGAACACCTCATGTCAGACTCCTCACTACAGAGGCCCCTGCTTTATGACTGCCTGATTTATGACCCCCTGTACTTACGACTTTTGCCATAAGTGCAGAAGGGACCGAAATACCCCGACTTACGTCCTCAGCCCCGCTTTTACGACAGCGCACAACGCCTGTCAAATGCGGGCTCGAGTTACGACGCCCCTGACTTGCAACACTATCCCAATAACCAATTGCGTCCCAAGTCGGGGGCAGCCTGTGCCACAGCAGCTAAGATACTGTTCCCTCCTTTTCTTTGTCCTGAGACTTAAAACCACGGCAGCTAAGATACTGCTCCCTCCTTTTCTTTGTCCTGAGACTTAAAACCACAACAAATAGAACACCTGTCTCTAGCTCAGCTCTCATCCTGGCACTTTCATCATCATGAATAAGGGCACCAATGGGAAAAAATTCTCTGCAGTCTGCTCGAGGCCTGAATGCTTTGACATAGGCCTTTCCAATACCAAATAGGGGCTAGTGGCCTGCTAACCAGATTTCAGCTCATGTAGTACTAGAAGTTTCTCAACTCTGGAGGGAGATCTCTTCAAAAAGTTGCAACAAGAAGTATTAATTGTGATCACTTGTACATAGACACAACTGCCCACTAGGAAATGGATAGATAACACTAAAGGGATTACAGTAATTCCTAATTTGCTAAATTTTTATCTAGCAATAAAAATATTTTCCTATTAAAATAATCCCTATAAATAAAATGTTCACAGCTATGAAAAATGAGCTTAATGCCAATCAAATCAGACTTAAGAATGTTTAATATTTTGTGTAACAAATCATTTTGATCAGTTTTGAATGAACTATTGTTTTTCTTTATAGTTATACCAGTTAAAAGTTGTATCAAAGATTTATGTATTTAAAGAAATTTAATATCTAATATAATTAGATACATTGACAATAGAGAAGAATCATCATCATTAATACAGCAGTAAATAAGAATTACCACTACACTGCCCATAGAAATCTGCTTTTAGTATCAGCTCCACTGTAACAATTCAATCATGGCAAAGTAGTGCAAGAGAGGCTTACTGCATTTCAATTTCTGTTCTATTCAATAAAACGTCAATGTGGAATTACACCTAATTATTCATGAGTAGGCCTTTTGGCACCCTCTAGTGGATTCCTCTCGGACTTTTTGAGTTTGGTTTTTTATAACTTTCCCCCAGTTTGGCCTTCCAAAACCTTCCTGCTTTTTAGAAGTGCTAGATGCAATCTCCAGCTTCTAAGGACACAAATTAAATGTCAAGGTCATAATATTGATCTACATTTTTTCTGGAGTGAGTCACTCTGAAATAAAATAATCCCAATGCATAATATGAAAGTTTATCCAGGCCTTACTCCAAGAAAGGAAATTTACAGGAAAAGAGTTATGACATAGATGTCTGCTCAACAACTTTGGAGCAAACCAGATCTATTACTCATGGCAAGGGAGATACAGCTCCATCTCTGTTCAGCCACTAATCGAAACACCTCTGTAGCCCAGGAAAAAACTAATTATGAGAGCAAGCATTGAGACTAAATACAGCAACCAACCAGAAGAGCATGAAATTCAATTTGAAAAAAATAAAATAAAATAACACTAACAATTAGTAATCCCATCTCTTTCCCCAACTGACAGCCTACTTGGGGTAGGTTAGATCTGTGGAATTCATTACATGAACATTTATTTATGCTCTATTCCAAAAAAGGAAAAATCTGTCTATTCATATTTGCAATGAGGTTACAGATCCAGGACATTGGGATTTTTATAGCACTATCCACTTGAGGGGAGAGGATGTATGCTATACAGAGTTATGTAAAGATGTAAAAGAGGCTACATAACGCCATTCTAAAAAAATTACTGAAATACCAAAACGAGGAGTACCAACTTACCAAAAGGCAGCATCAGATGATTTTCACTGTTATGGTTCTGAGACAGTGATTTTGAAGCCTTCTTTCCTCTTGACACTGTATAATAAAGCACAAAGAAAGTATTTGTCTTTCTGCATTGAGCTGTGCAGTGAGTATATACTTTAGATTTCTGTAGTTTAAGTATGTTAAATTGCAGTTATCTGACTAATTGTGTAATCAATACAATTTGTATCAACTACATGATTAGTCGATAAGGGGCTGCTCGCAGAGCCTTAGTAGGGTAGATCCTGAAGCTGGCTGAAGCCAGGACTGAGCAGTCCCAGCTTGCGCTGGCTCCAGGAATCACCCGCACTGCAGTTCTGCATTTTAAATTTATCAAGAACCGCCAGACTCCTACTACATTTAAAATGCAGAGGTGCAGCATCCTGGAACAGGCCAAGCCAGGACTGCTCAGTCCCAGCTCAGGCCAAGTCCAGCAGTCCCTGTTCACAGCGGCCAGGGAGGGCCATGGGAACAGGCTGCTGCTGCTGCTAAAGCAACCCCTGCACGCAGCCAGCCCCAACTGCCATGATCAGGAGCTGCGTGGTGGCAGCAACCTCTCTCGGCTGGCAGGCGCAGAGGGGAGCTCCTTGCTGTGACCCATGCGGACGGGGACTGCTTTCGGAGCAGCCTCCCCCATACCTCCCTGCTGCCTCTAATAGAGAAAGCAGGGCGAGGGGGTAGGCAGTACTGCAGAGACATGGGTTCCTGTTCCCGCTCCCCTTGCGGTCTCTCATACAGAGGCAGAAAGGAGGGTGGCGGGGGGAGGAGTAGTCAAGTACTACACTCGACTACCCGATAAGCTTATGGATAGAGAAAGCAGGGGGAGGGGGTAGGCAGTACTGCAGAGGCATGGGTTCCTGTTCCCTCTCCCCTTGCGGTCTCTCATACAGAGGCAGAAAGGAGGGTGGCAGGGGGAGGAGTAGTCAAGTACTACACTTGACTACCCGATAAGCTTATGCCAGTCAAGTACATAAGAACAGCCGTACTGAGTCAGACCAAAGGTCCATCTAGCCCAGTATCCTGTCTACTGACAGTGGCCAGCACCAGGTGCCCCAGAGAGGGTGGACCGAAGACAATGATCAAGCGATTTGTCTCCTGCCATCCCTCTCCAGCCTCTGACAAACAGAGGCCAAGAACATCATTTTATCCCCTGGATAAAAGTAGCTGGATAATTGCTAACATTCCTACTGTGGTTCCCAAAAAATGCCACAAATTGTCTTTGGGATACTCTACAGAGCCTGGAGTTTAGTCTTCTGGTATATGGTTGAGTGAGTATCACTTCATCTTCACAGAAAGATGGGTGTCAAGTTTTAAAATGCTCAGGTTACACATAAAATGTGCCTAATTCTGATACACTGTGAACCACTATGATAGTTATGAAAAAAATTAACTGATTAGAAAGTAATGAACTACTTTCATAAACAGCTTCAATAGAGAGCTTGTCGAGGTACCTTAATCAGGTAAAATCCCATGAAATAACTCTGTACTTTGGGAAGATGCAGAAGTCATGCTATTCTCAAAAAATGCCTATCAGACATCTAGGAAAGATGAAATATACCAATTCTCTGCTGTAACTAAGAACTTGCCAGACGAAGCAGCAACTTGACTTTTAAATGTCTGAACTATCAAGCCCTGAACCCATCTTGAAAAAAATCCAAGAATCTGCAGTACTGACACAGATTTAAGAGTGACACTCTCATCCTGGTACCAAAAGTCACCCAAAGTCCCAGTATATGCTGTGTTGAATGTCCTTCTAGAAACTTAATGTGGATATTATCTCTTCCGAATAACCTCTTTGGCTCAAGAAGCTTTGTTCACCAACTAGACAACAAGGCTCAGACTGTCTGGATTCTTATTTATGACTGGATTTTGTAATAAAGATCCCATCTGCGTGGATAGAGGAGGAAGGTCTTTGTACCACAATAAGGAGGTCTCCATGGCCAGAACAGGACTACCAGAATTACCAGTTCTGCTTTTCTTCTGAAGTGTTCTAATGAGAGAAAAGGAATATTAAAAATAAAGATCAGTTCCTTTTGAGACATCTTTGCTACAAGGCATCTGTTGCCTTGGCTTCATAATCTCACTGGCAAGAATGGAACATTGAATCTTTGTGATTCAAATGGTATGCAAACAGATCTATTGCTAGGAAACCAAGTTTCTTTTCCAGTAGATGGAAGACCTCTGGGTGTAGTCCTCATTCTGTATAATCTATCTTTTGCATGCTGAGAAGTGAGCTGTGACATTCACTTTGTAATGGACACAAAGGAAGCAGAGTAACTGCTGATTCTCCTCAGGTCAAGTCATAGAACTTGAGCTTCTCTGTCTGTAGATGCCATTCTCTTTTGCTCTGCTGACATAGACCATGACTGAGGTATCTGTTGGCAGCATGAAGTCTACATATTGCCTGATTATATATTGGACTGTGGTGATATTTCATTCTATCCTGCATTGTTCTCATTTGACTGGCTCTCTCAGAAGTCTGAACCCCATTCCTCCAGCCTTGTGGTGATAAGTGTCCTGTTGAGTTTGCTTATTGGAAAGTTTGACTAGAATCCTCACACTCATCCAGCAGAATGGCCTGAGACTGCTCCTGGGGAAAAGATGTTTTTAGTAAGGAAAGAGTAAGCAATCCTGACACTTAGGAACTTTTTCCTAATGTCCAACCTAAACCCCCTTGCTGAAATTTAAGCCCACTGCTTCTTGTCCTATCAGCAGAGGCCAAGGAGAACAATTTTTCCTCCCTCCTCCTTGTAACAGCCTTTTAAATACTTGAAAACTGCTATCATGTCTTCCCTAAACTAAACAAGCTCAGTTCTTTCAGTCTTCCTCCACAGGTCATGTTTTCCAGATTTTTAATCATTTTTGTCGCTCTTTTCTGGACCTTCTCCAGATTTTGAATAATTTTTGTCGCTCTTTTCTGGACCTTCTCCAATTTCTCCATCTCTTTCCTGAAATGTGGTGCCCAGAACTGGATACAATACTACAGTTGAGGCATAATCCGTGCAGAGAAGAGTGGAATAATTACTTGTGTCTTGCTCACAACATTCCTGTTAACACATCCCAGAATCATGCTTGCTTTTTTGTGTGCAAGTGTCACACTGTTGACTTAGCTTGTGGTGCATTATAACACCTAGATCTTTTTTGCAGTACTTCTTTCCATAGTCACTTCCCATTCTGTATGTGTGAAACTGATTGTTCCTTCCTAAATTGAGTACTTTGCATTTGTCCTTATTAAACTTCATCCCGTTTACTTCAGGCCATTTCTCCCATTTGTCCAGATAATTTTGAATTAGGATCCTATCCTCCAAGGCACTTGCAAACCCTCCCAGCTTTTTATCATCTGCAAACTTAATAAGCATACTCTCTATGCCAATATCTAAATCATTGATGAAGATACTGAACAGAACCGGTCCCAAAATAGACCTCTGCAGAACCCCAGTTATGCCCTTCCAGCATGACTGTGAACCATTATTAACTACTCTGAGACTGATTATGCAGCCAGTTTTACACCCACCTTATAGTAGCTCCATCTAGGTTGTACTGATTTATTGATCTAGTTTATCAATAAGGTGGTCATGTGAGACCGCATCAAAAGCTTTACTAAAGTCTAGGTATATCATGTCCATCGCTTCTCCCTTGTCCACAAGTCTTGCCATCCTATCAAAGAAAGCTCTCAGATTGGTTTGACATGATTTGTTCTTTACAAATCCATGCTAGCTGTAACCAATCACTTTATCTTCCAGATGAATTCCTTAACTATTTGCCCCTTTGTTTCCCCTGGCACAGAAGTTAAACTGACTGATCTGTAGTTTCCTTGGTTGTTCTTATTTCCCTTTTTATAGATGGGTACTGTATTTGCCCTTTTCCAGTCTTCTGGAATCTCTCCCGTCTTCCACGATTTTTCAAAGATGATGGCTAAATGCTCAAATACCTCCTGAGTATTCTAGGATGCATTTCATCAGGCCTTGGTGACTTGCAGACCTCTAACTTTTGTAAGTAATTTTAACTTGTGTTTTTTTTAATTTCTAAATCTACACCATTTCTACTAGCATTCACTATGTTTGGCATCGCATCATCATAAATCTTTCGTGAAAATCAAAACAAGTTAAGCACCTCTGCCATTTCCAACTATGTTTGGCATCGCATCATCATCAATCTTTAGTGAAAACCAAAACAAGTTAAGCACCTCTGCCATTTCCAGGTTTCCTGTTACTTTCCTCTCTCCTCACTGAGCAACAGGCTTCAGTCCTTGAACTTCCTCTTGCTTCTAGCATATTTGTAAAATATTTTCTTGTTACCATTTATATCACTATCTAGACTGAGCTCGTTTTGAGCCTTTGCCTTTCTAATCTTGCCCTTGTGTACTTGCATTATTTGCATATATTCATCATTTGTAATTTGGTCTGGTCTCCACTTTTTATACAACTCCTTTTTGATTTGTAAATCATGTAAGATCTCCTGGTTAAGCCAAGGTGGTATACGCAATGGAATAGTTTGCTTCTTGGCCCTTAGCTCCCCTTTGAAAAACTATCAACTGCCTTCAGTTGTTTTTCCTTCTTAGTCTTGCTTTCCATGGGACTTTGCCTACCAGCTCTGTGAGTTACTGAAACATAGTTTCCTGCAATCCACCGTCTCTATTTTGCTGTTCTCCCGTCTACCATTCCTTAGAATCATGATCTCTAGGATTTCATGATCACTTTTACCCAAGCTGCCTTCCACTTTCAAGTTTTCAACCAGTTCCTCCATGTTGGTTAAAATCAAATCTAGAACAGCTTCCCCACAGTAGCTTTCTCAACCTTCTGAAATTAAAAAAACCAACCTCCAATGCAGTTCAATAACTTATTAGATAATCTGTGCCTTGGTCTGTTAGTTTCCCAACATATATCTACATAGTTGAAATCCCCCATCACCACCAAATCCTATTCCCCATCACCATCAAATCCTGTGCTTTGGATGACTGTTAATTGTTTAAAAAAAAAGTCTCACTCATCTCTTCTGCCTGGGTAGGTGGTCATGCTAGGGGTCTACTACAGACATCACCCTTGTTCTTTTAA